AATTATTAGTTTTATAGCATATATTAATAAAATAGTCTTAACTATTTTACGCCTTATTAGAGTTATTATTATACGAGAAACATATAAGCATAAGTTATAACCTTTTCATTGCTAGAAATTAACATATTTTAAAGTTATTGATATTAGTGGCTGCAATACGATTGCGCGCGGTCCTTATCAGCGGTACCTTTTTAGGCGTACGATTGCGCGTGCTAAATTATTTTTACTTCTAAGCAACGTTGCCAAATACACAGATTATAGGTGCACGGTAAATATCTGAAAAGCAATCACTACTTTTTAAAATTGAAATATTACACATTGATTTTGAAATTGGTGCTATTGAAGCAACAAAAGAAGTTTTTCCGTATGTCAAAATTAAAACTTACCGTTTTCACTTGGGACAAGCTTGGTGGCGCAAAGTAAGTTGAATCAATATAAATATTTTTCGAAATAATTAATCAAAATCAATTTTCAGATTAATATTATTTTATTATAACGATTTTTAAAGAATATAAAGAATCTGTTTTATTTTGTGTTATGGATTTAACGAGATATAATTTAACCAAATTATTATTTGTATATAATGTGATTTTGTATCGAAATTGATGATTTTCAATCGTGTACCAATTATTGTTTTTTTTTTTTTTGAATTTTTCGACCTAAAAAATTGAATTTAGAAGGTATCACTAGGCTAGTAAAAAATTTGTTTTTTTTTTATAATAATAATTATTTTATATTTAAATAATAATTTGGCAACGTCGCATCCAATTTCACGCGCAATCGTACGCTTTTGAATAGGCAAAAGCATGATTATTTGTTATTCCGGCACTGCGCGCAATCGTATGCCCAAAAAGGTAAAACGCGCGCAATCGTACTCTACCGATATTAGTTTACCGCACAAATCACGTAGGTAATCAGTTGGTAGTAGGTAGTGATACCAAAGGTGTTTTTTATCATGCACTGTATAAAATTAAATTATTCTGTATAGGTAGGTAGGCAATGTGTTAGTTGTAATATTTAGAAATAACCTTATTAAAATCTGGAAAATGAACTGTATTAGTTGTAGTTTGTATTGCTTACAAATAACTAATAAGCGTGTTTGAATATACCATTCTATATATTATGGAAGTTTGAATGAAGAATTATATTGCAGATAAAATATATAAAAAATGTAAATGACAGGAATCACATTTTGAATACGAATAATTAATGAATCAATATATTCAAGAATAAATATAAAAAAAAAATCAAGGATATATAATATAAAATATTATATTATATCTTAGGTACTTTAAACTACAAATTACTGAACTATGGAAAGTGTATGAATTGGTTACCTGATTGATTTGATTTTGTTTTTTATACATACATATATTATGATTTATGGCTTCATATTCAATGGTTTATCTACTTATCGATGATCAAATAATTATTTTAAACGAGCATATGGGTGTATAAAAGCAACATTTGGTTCGACGGGAAAGGGAAATATACTATCCATGATTCAAACATTTTACGTTATTTAGTTGAATTTCATAAGGGCAAAGAAGGAAAAGGTATTCCACATGTATTTTACAGAGCATAAATAATTTCACTGTAATGTCAGGCATTGAATAGAATTTCGTGGATATATACTTGGGGAATAGCCAGGAATACATTTAAATATTTCTTATGCACAATGTCAAATTTCCCATTAAAATATGGCAAGACATTTTGCCATGCACGTGCAATGCAAATCTTGTTTATACATTTTCTACTTTACATATTGTGACCATCTCCCTAGAGACTCGTTAACTAATGTCTTGCAAACTTGTAGAATAATACATGAGTGCTTCTTATGTGAGATATTCCGACTAAGATTTTTTTATCGATACAAATCTAATGAAAAATCCACACTAAATATAATTATGATTAACATTGGTTTTAACCAAATTAGGTATGAAAATTGAAAGTGTATTTAATAGAACATACTTATTGTTATTTTACTGTACTGATTGTTATAAATATTGTTATTTGTTACCAATGTAAATCATTAAATATAATATGAATATATTTCGTTGTAATACTTTCATTGCTTGTTGATTTTTTTTATATAGGTAGTTTATTTATTGGCATACAAAATAGGAAAATAACAATTTCATTTTTAGAATGGTTCAATGGCTGTGATATGATTTGAATTTGTATTTCAGTATAGTACAATGTAATATCATGTATGATTTCTCATTTAATGATTTTATTAAATGTTGTATTTTTCAGCTATGGCTGATCATTTTCCACTGTTGAAAATGTATAAATATGTATAGAAGCTAAAAACATCTATCATTTGGTAATTTATTAGTTATTTAATACGAAAGCCTTTGAACAATACAGATTCATAATAAGGAACTCACATCTATGTAGAACCAGAGAATATTATGAACACTATTGGAGATGAATATTGACGATTATTTATGAGCATGTGAAAGTTAAAAATTTAAAAAAGTTCAATTCAATTTTAATATTTATATTCTTTAATACACGGTATATTATATTTTAAATTGTTTTTAACTAAATATTACACATTTCGATATGGGCGGATTTAATTTCGGGCATATGCCCAATTAAAAAGTCTGAGTACATCATAATTTATAACGATTATAAATCTAAAAACCATAAATAACATTTTAAAATTATTAAAAAGAATTTATAATAGCTGTAAATCAAAGATATGAAGTTGTGTTATACGATTGCTGAGTCATATTTTCTGAACTTATAATGTCTTCATTAAATGCTTACAATGACAAAATACATCGACTAATAAATAGATCCAAATTTTATTTTACATAGAAAAATGTAAAAAAGTAATTCAAATATCATTAAATGCAAATGTGTCGTTTGAATGAGACTTTTTGGGTGATGCGAGCGAAACATTCTGGAGGAAACAGCATGTCTGTTAAAGACGCGTTCACATCAGTCAAAGTCGTTATTTACATTGTTATGACTCCACCGAAGGAAAAGGGTGGCGATCGTTGTTTTAAGGGCCACGGGGTAAATAATTTCCACGGTCATTAGCATCGCATTCGCTTTCTTCGCCGCCTGAAAGGAGGCCAACTTTTTTCCCTTCGTAATAGTTCCTTGCACTACCCATGCAGCATCTCGGTTTCCCTCTGCAGGAGAAGTAAATTATTTTCCCTTTCTTTTTCATTTCATTTCCTGAGAAACGTAAGTAACAAAGCCGCTACTATATCCACGACGACAGAGGTGGTGTTGGTATAGTACTGTGCAGAGGAGTTAATTACACGGAAAATTCTAAAAACGCGATAAGACGTTTTTTCTCGTTATATCTATTCTACATCAGAAGTCACAACGGTTATGTTGCCTCTGTCGTTTATATTTATCGCGATGTTTTAGAAAAACGATTTTATTCTTTTTATGGAGTATTACACAGGTTTAAAGGGTATGGATGAAATTATACCAGGACATACACTATTATAATAAAAGTTTCTAAGTCTCTAATATATGTCCAAGAAATATATAGAAATAAATTGCTTATTCTTTTAAGAGTTAAAATTAAATTTTAAATGTATTCACGATCCACAAAATAATAATAATAATAAAAAGTTGAGCCGGAATGAAAAATCGAGTATTGGCACTCATCTCGGTTTTATAAATTTAGCATAACACCTTATACAGGTGAAAAATTTAAATTTAAAAGTAAACATTTAAAAAGAATGGTAGGTATTCGTAGTATGATTATCACTGTTTTAGATAAGTCACTAAATTATGTTTTTCATTATTCTATTTCCTAACTATTAAAGTAAATATAATTATTAATAATTTTACCTTTAGCGGGAAATCATCGAATTTTTTGTTTAAAAACTCAATATATTTAAATAACTGTATTCAATTTCTAGGAACAAAGTATTTAAATTGAATCTGTGATATTGTAAACAATCTCAATATTTGTTTTTTTTTACTGAGAATATGATGAATTGATTAAAAAAAAAAACAAAAAATATAGTAGGCACCTTCCTTTGTAAAAACTATTCTTGGTTTCTTAATTAACAGACAAAGCTACATTAAATTTGTAAATGTTTTTAATTTTTTATGCATTAAAATTAAAAAAGTAAAACATTATCGTTGAACAAACACTATACGCTCGAATACTTTGCACATAATCATAAATCGTACTTCCAGATTAAGTAGCGAACCAGGTAAAAAAAAGTTTGGTTTGCTTAGTTATATTATCATGATATTATCCACGGGCCATGGTCATCTTACTTTATGGAATATAATAGCATGAAATATGTAGTGGTATAACTGATATTTATATTTTTCTAAAATACTTCGTATTTCAATATTGAATATTAAATTAACAGTTTTTTAAAAATTATCAAGCATCAGTCATAACACACTTAGATGACTGGGCTAGTAGACCAACATTTTACAACGGTATCAAATTTGTATGAACTAAAATGATTTTTATGTATAAAAAATCTATTTATTCAATTTGTAACCCAGTTAATGAAATCCAACACTATGAAAGAGGTATTATGCTTCTGCTTCAGACTATGATGTAAAATATATAGGTATGTCATATACAATATTAAACTTTGATTATAGTGGTTTACTCAACATACATTTTAAACGTTTTTAAGCAGATATCGTCTATAAAATATAATAATTTATTTGAAATGATAAATTTTAAATTAATAATGATCCCTGTATAATTTATATTATAGTAAATTTTTGGCTAACTAATGTTTTACTTTGCAGGCTTAAAAATGTTTGCATATCATATAAAATATTATTTAGATTACCAAGGCCTAATATTTTAAATGTAAATTCCGAGTTAGTTGTTATCAAAATGAGGGGCAAATAGTGTTGCATGTATAGTAGTATTGCAATAGTGTGGATGCACTATAATAATTATGAATGGTAACAATTATGACAAATTGTTTTACAAATATTAAGTCATCACCATCCGTGATTTTTATAAAGAAAACAAGCAAATTACTCACTATTCCAGACACGGTGATTTCTCCTGTAGTGGATAAAGGCAGATAATCTGTAAGTATGCACCCGTCTAGCGCTGCACTCAAATGTTTCACGGGGCAAGGTGCTCTCATTTCATTCCACCAAGTTGGACCATAAGTACCCATTATAAGCCATTGGTATTTACCACCAACCATACCGACCCTAAATGAGCGGAGGTTTTATTCATTATACATTATATATATATATTTATGCATACATTTGAATAAGTAAAATTAATTTTTAGTAGGTAACCAATCATATTATTACCTGTACGCTTCACAAAATACTTTTCTCGCCCACGTTTCATTGAAATTACCCAGAATTATACGAATATCTTTTTCTTGGAGTTTTTTGATAGGCAGAGATACATCGCCAGCTATGTTTTGAGTGTCATCCACAACAAAGTTGTCCTTCTCCAACATAGCTACCAGTTGGTTGTGTGCCTGTGAAAGTATATAAAATCAGACGGATATTGACAAGAACAACAATTAATTAAAAAACAATTTTTTTAATATTTTAAATTTCCGTGACCATAATATTTTGATTACATTTTAGCTATTTATATACCACTAACCTATTCAAGCCCTTCTGCAGAATTTGAACTCATTACTTTGAAATTATTTAAAGTTAATAAACTATTATGAAAAATATTGAAATAATATCATAATAATTACACATAATTTATGTATTTAATTTTTGGCATAAATCACTTCAACCTATCTTATTACTAATGGAAAAATGAACTATTTGTGGTAATAGATATATACCTATAATATTATAAAATATTTTAAAATATTATAAGAAATAGAGACTTTGACACACTTTCATTGCTAAAATTTTTTTTTGTTTCCAGTGATTTATTTTTCAATTCAAATTTCACAACCCCATTATTACGGTGACTTATTTAATGTACAAGTGAAACCTTTTATAGAGCAGACCGGGTTTCCTCGTTTTTTGTATAGGTAATATTGTAGTCATAGTCCACAGAAATAAACAATGCACTGTACTAAAAAAAAAAAAAAAAATAATAATAATAATAATAATAATAATTACTAGAATTACTAGGTAGGTATTGTATGCTTTATAGATTATAACTATTAGGTAGTTATATCGATTTTGGTTTGAATGGAGTTCTTAAAAAATATTTTACTAACAATTTTGTATTAATTAAATTATTTTCTTATAACTTTTTAAGAAGTCTTTAATAGGTTTTTAAGAAAATTATACTTATGTACTTGTACTTTACATTTCAGTGAGCATGAGAATAACGAGGGTAAGACATGTTTCAATTTATTTGTCGAGAAAGTAGAGTTTATAAAAGAGATGAAAAGTACGTAATATGACAACAAACAATAAAGTAAAAGAAGTTCAAAAAAATGCATGCGCATGTTTTTATAATCAATTATCCTTATTATAATAATATGCTAGAACATGAAAGTAAAAAAAAAAACATTCTCTAATTTTTTTAACAATCACTGCACCTGAGACTAGCTATTATATTTAAGTTTTGTGTTTCTTTGCATATTTTTTTTTCAAACGGATATTATCTTAAGGCTAGAAGAGAAAAAGGGAGGAAACTTCTTAACTGGTCGTTAGTTGGAAGTTAGTTGGTTGAATAAATCATACCACGAAAACTTTTTACTGGCTTGCCAGAAAAAAGTAAAAAAGTTGAAGCAATAATTATTATAATAATATGTACGTATACATAATAGTTCAAGTAAGTATTTTAGACTACCAGAAGTTACTATTAATTCAACTCATATCCAGGTCACGTAATGTTGGATAAGTAAAATAAAAACAGTTTTATTTTTAAATTAAAAATATTTGTAAAATAAGATACTTTGAATTTTTTATTTTCATTGTACAATTTAAGATCTACACACAACAATTATATAAGAGTGTGATGAATAAATTAATATGAATGAAAGATACATTTTTTTCTGTATTGCAGAGCTACAATCATAATTGTTTTTATTTATTGTTTCTATAGTTAGTAGGAAGTCGACTATGGTTAAAAAAATATATTCGTATTTTGTTGTACTCAATGTTTGTTACCAATTAGGCAATAGACGAGAGTCTATTTTTAACAGATGTGATATATTACCTATATTGATGACGTAAAAAGTTGAATTACTAATTTTAAGTTTTTAAGGTATTTTAATAATTATAGTTTATTATGTTAGATTTAAAATTTAGTCAGGATACGGAATGAGGTTTACCTATACTCATTATTAGTATGCGTATTATTATAATATGCCAACAACTGGATATGTTCGAGGACAAACACGCGGTGGAACACCTCGTTATTATATGGAAATATAATATGTAGGTTAAAAACAGGGAAATGTTTGAATTATTGTTCATTAGTTAAGAGTGAAGAAGGGATACTTTTTAATTAAAAATATAATTAATTAATGGCATAGTCTGTGTAGGTATTTTGTCGTTTCATGTTTACAGTTAACTTTTTAAATATTATACTTTTATTTATATGAAAATTTGTGATTGCCTGTTTATTGGTTTTTCGAAAATTACATTTTTAATACTTTGACGTACTTTCAACATAGAATTAGTGAGTTACACGATAAGACATATTTAATAATAGACAAGATGTTTTAATAATTAAGAACTCAACGTCTAAATGTAATACATTTCTAAAATAATTTAGAAGTCTTATAATAAATATAATTAATTGTTTTGTATTAATACCTATCAAATTTATTTTTTATGAGAATATAATTTAAATTGAATTTATGTAGTGATAAATACGAAATACCCATTACCCATTGGTACTATTATATTATATTTAAAAAAGCCACGTTAAATTAATTTATTAAAGGTTATATTGATTTAAATACGAAGTTCGATTTGTTTAATTACTTATTTCATTTTTATTACAATGCAGCTTTTCAACTCCTTTTTATTTCTCTAAATGATTGAATTAATTTTTTTAAATTAATTTTAAGAGTAGTTTTATTCTGTAAACTAAGCTCAACTGTTAAATTAAAGTAGTTAAATAAATTCTTATTCATGCAAACAAAAAGTAATTTAACAAGAAATTGAAAACGTAATAAAGTTTCTTGTAGTATAGTTGTTTGAGTACATATTATTACAAAGCATAATGTCAAATGATGGTATTTTGTTAATACAGTTAGTCCTATTGACGGTTTGTTTGATTTGAAATTAAACTAATATTCCTCATTCCTCATTCTGCCATAGGCACTTAACAGCGAACACGTTGCACACGTTGAATAATCTTTATCCTAAATCCTACCGATGTATTACTTACTAAATACACCCCACATTATCCAAAATTCAATACTTAAATTATTGAGACTAAGAAACTTTTCAACATTAAGGAATCAGGATATGACTTTTAGTAACAAATTGAATTATAAAACAATTACAGAAAATATTAACTATACATATCACACACATCTGCTATCTTCCGTTTACCTTACATTTATTTTTTATTAAAACACTGCCATTATCTCAATTCATAAGCCAGACAAATTTTGAAATCCCCTCTCTTCCTACCAACCAATTAGTTAACTCTCCTTCTTCTTAAAAATTCTTTGTTTAATTCTGTGTTTTTAATAATTTTTTTTTATCTTAGCACCCAATTAGTTTACGTTTATTAACTAAAACTCCGTGGTGTGCAATGAAACCACACGCTCTTCTCAATTACCCAATAATTCCTACTTTCTCTATTATTGCTTCAATGTATAATTACTTCTGCAACACTATAGGTCATCCTGTAGTCATCTAATTTGTGTGTTATCACTCTCCTGGATAGCACTAAAACTTTCCAAGTCACTTCCAAACAACAAGACATATATACATATTAGTAATCCAATTCAGTAAAAAAAAGTATCACTTACATCACGTCATCCAATTGTCTTGTAATATCACATCAAATTTACTCATTAAAAAAAAAATATAAATATAAAATTGTAAATTTCCATAATATTCATTAAAAAAACCCTTTTATATTAATACATAAATATAATATATATATCATTATTTATTACTGTAGTTGTTTCTTATACGGAAAAAAACTGCTCGTAAGTCACATCATCACGAAAGATAATCGACGGTGCGTATGAATGGAGATGTGTAGGCCTTAAATTGTTCGATGAACTTAAATTAATTGAATGACAAAGAAAAATATACGCGTTTCTTACATCCACATCCACGTGTAAATGTGTTTGGGCATTGCGTTGTCAATGGTTAATGGTTATGGATGTTTATTTATATGGTATAATACATTAAAATAGTTCAAATGTTGTGAAGTAGGTATATAATTTTTTTTTTGGAAATAGGTGCATTAACAATGTTTTTTTAAAAACAATTATTAATATCATTGTTATAGAATGTCATTGAGTAAATATTCTAATTATTTTTCTTGTTTTAAAATTTGCTTAATATGTTTTAGATGAAATATTTTGACTCAAGATAGAGAAGATTGTTTTTTTTAAACAAAACTGTTTTGATTAATTAAAATCAACAAAGTGTCACGTTTTTTTAATTAATTTAAAAATGTTCACTTTTGTGGAGTTAAAAAAATAAGGTAGACTTTCCAGTATTTTGTTAAAATGTCACCGCTAATTAAAATTGACAACAATTGATACAATATTACAAAGAATTCTTATATATTCTTATATTATATTATATAATAAATTGATATTTTAGTATTTTTCTTTATAACAAGAAAAATATTAATCAAACGTTTATATTAAATCTTCACTGAAATTGTTCAACATTTTATTTATATACTATTCAAATTAAACTAAAGAATCATGTTTTGTATTTAAGGGAACGAGTTGTGTATGGATTTTATAATGATACTTTTTTTAGTGACAATTTTTTTAGGCAGTATACTAGTAAAACATTTTAATAACAAATTACATTAGAATTCCAAAAAAAAATAAACTTACTGAGCTCCCAATAATTTGAATCTACTCTTAAACCATTGTTCAGATTTCAAACTTTTATTTAAACAAACAAAAATATACGGCGTAGGCTTAAAATTGAATTATTATTATGATATAGGCATTTTTACGTAAATCAACATTTTAAAATGTACATCCTTTAAAATCTAATGTTTTTACTTTTTTATTGTTGTAATTTTTTTTTTAAATCACGTAATTTACTATTTTCATTATTAAGTTTTGAAAATTTAATCTAATATTCTAATACGAATTAACAAAATATAAAATTAAAAAAATAACAATGAATTATTTCGATTCTCGACATGCCACATTTTGAACGAAATAAAAACAAATATACACTAGTCTTGTTAAACTAATGTAAACCATTTTAAAGTTTTACACAAACGATTATTGTTTAAGATTTGTAGCACGGCTCTTAGATATGACATCAGTTTGTTTCACATATTGATACAAATTTAGAAATTCCTAATTGTTTAATACATTGAAACATAATTTATTTTTAAAATAAACTTTACCTAATGAAAAAAGTTCGATTCTTAGAATATTAATTAACACAGCTTATAGTATGGTTTTTCGAATAATACCCCGGGCATGAATAATCATGACGGATTAATCTGTTTTGATCCGATGTTTTGCGAAGGAAACTAATGAATGCCTTGTATTTGCTATAAATGTTATTTGATTTTGGGCTGCCACTGCCGTCGGTCTCGCATGTCATGAAATGTGCTATATTGACGAGATAGTAATATCATTTGAAAACAGCATAATGAAATTTGTGACGGTATATTTAAATACATTTTAGGAACTATCAGATTATTAATTGCATATATTAAATTGTTTTAATACCAGAATTTCGTTTACAATTCTGTCATTCACATAATATACGCACCACTCTGTCATTGTGTCAGTTAAAATAGGAAATTAACAAGATATATGCGCTTTTACGTGCATTATGTATCATTTTCCTGTAAATACATTGACACCAAAATAAATATTTAAACTGCTGTCACAGTACCAGTGAAATTATTATTGAGCACATTCGGTGATTGTTCTTTATTCAGTTTAATATTAAACTATTATGTATTAACACTAAATATTGACATTTGAAAAAGTTTGTTGGGCTTCATTAAAACTGATAGTTCCGTAATTTCACAAAAAATGATTTTTCTAAGGATATGTAATTTAAAATTAAATTACGCTTTTGTTTTAATCTCATACGTTCCCATATGGAAATTGTTTCTACGTTTACTGTTTACATGCATTTTAATTTAATTTTCAAGCCGAAAATATTATATAATACGCAAGTGCCTCTATCTATACGTATACTAATATTATTGTCATTGATTAGAGTAGAGAATAAAAATTGAATCATAAAAACGATATTCCTCAGCTGGTTTGACATTTATTTGGACAATTTAAAATTTTTACAATTACATTTTTGGTAAAAAAACTATTGATATTGAATCGAAGAATTTAAGAAAAATGATTTAAAAAAAAAAAAATACTGGATAGCTGTCTTAAAAGACAGATAAATTACACATTATTATATTAATTTTTGAATTTTTTGAATTTATTAAAAGTCTACGTCAGGAAATATATCAGCTCTTTACTTGCAATGCATAACATGAAAATGTACAAAAAGATAGAGATTGGAATATTATTGTTTTAATTTTATTGTAGTTATAACACGACTTCAAGACTTAATGAACAATAATTGTAAGTATGAAATTGTTATTAAAAAATAAGTTTCAAATAATTGATGAAGTAGACAGAGGAGTGACGCAAGACGTGCCACTCACTTAAATTATTGTTACATTTTATATTTTATATTATCAAACATTTAGACACGTATCTTATTTATATATTTTTATTTAAATTCACCATCTTTTCAACAGTATTTTTTTTATAGATGTTTATTTACTGAACAATATAGTTTCTGTCGTATTGTTTTTTTTAATTGCTACGGAACTAACATTTACTGACTACACTACACAAATTCACAGAATGCATAAAAAAAACTTATCTTAAAAATAATGGCATTGGGGAAATACATTTTCTATTTTAATATTCACTTGTCAAATTGTTAAAATATTCTTCAGGTTTTTAAGTTTTTTATAGTTTAAATTAGGAGACAAAACTTCTGTGTTTTGCAATTGTGTCAATTACGAAATACTCAATAAAAACAACATTTAGTCATAGTAACTTGCAAATGATCAATTTTAATTCTCTTGTTTTAACTATTTTATTATTATTATTCTTTTTAATTTTTTATTTTATGAGTCTTATCTACAACACAAATTAAATATATCCAAGCAAAATATTTTTTGTTTTTAGTCATCGATTTAAATGGTTATGCAAATATTAGTTTAAAAATGTATGATTTATTTATTAAATAATTATTATTCACACGAGATATATATGAGTACAAAAGATTCATACATTTTTCAATAAATTTGTTTTCCTTTGGGTGCACAATTTACAATCGCCCGATGAAATGTTGTGTACTATATCAGATAGGAGTTTTTTCTTGAGGTAGCCGAAGTGTCAGATGTCTTTTTATTGGTTTAGGCACTCAGATGACAATAGTCAGCTAGGTATTTCCTTTGTGGGGTGACATATTTTAAACTGGTTTTGGTTTATTTTTTATTAGCACAATGATATTGTTGAAACATAATAATCTGTCTATAATAGAATATAGTAAAACCATATGAACTTGGTAGTATACACCCAATTTTTGGAATTTTGATTATTGAAAGTAACCATGTACCTACTGCTAGATTCCAAGATGGACATAGCATGTTTGAAATGATATTATTATATTCTCTTCTAAGTGCATAGATTGAAGCTTATACAAACCACGAAAAATTCATTAGGCACTGTGTAATTTGTTTGCTAAGCATAGATCAATGGCAACGATACCGTGTTTGAGACTATTATTATACAGTAGGTACACAATTTGATCTCATTGATTCAGCTGAGTATTTTTACGAACAATTTCAAAGATATTTCAGATTGCTGATCTTAGGCGTATTATTTAATAGGTCCATAGAGAAAAAACACAATATTGGTATTTTAGAAATGATTATCAAAGCATTAAACCAAGGCTACCATTACTTTGTGATATCTTTACTATACAATTTACATTAAGTCTAAAGTTGAAAGCAATATGTACTTTATTACTATACATTTTTTAAGAGAAAAATATACGAACTATACCTACATAACAATTTGTATAATAAGTGCTTATGTGATGTATTACGTTATTATAAAAGTGTAATAGGTACGCATGATCAGGTTCAGGTACAATTTACTCACTCATATTTAATACATATTTGATAACTGAGTGGTTAATTATACTGCATTTCTGACAATGCTTATTGCCCGACATTGTTGGATAGAGTCCAATAATTCGGAGGTAATCCTACAAACTTTTTCAAATCAATACTTTCCAATGAATAGATAGGAAGAAAACATGATGTTATGTAGGTACTATAGTACCTACTTAGTGTACTAACTACGATTTAATTTAAAATCTATTGATATGTCGACGTTTTTGAAATAACGACACACATCAATATATTTGATGTACAAATCGTTTGAAAAAAAAAAGTTTCATTAGGCAGGTACTACTTAAGTCTCAAAATGTATACATAATACAAATGATAATATTTAATTTGTAGAAGTATTTTTATGGTCTTGATACCTAACATAATATGATCAAATTAATTAAGTTTAAAAAAAACAAAATTAACACATTTTAAAACTATTCTGAATTTCATTATAAGTGTCAAAATAAATAAAACTGATACAACACAGTACATTTTATATTGAGTATAAAATAACGAGTTGTTCATATTTTTTGAGGCATTGTCACTTAAGTACTTTTATTTGAGGCTCCTTTCATTCACGCCACCTCATTCTATAACATATAGGTACTCTTGTGGGTACAACACATTTGCTTGTTAGTTGTTATATAATATTGAATACATAATATTGTAAATTTTATATTTTCATAGAAATAAAAAACAATCTTGGGTATAGATTAATAAAGAATGTAACTTATTATGTATAACAATGCGTTATCATCGAGAAAAACGGTTTTAAGGTAAATATTTTTATTTTGTTCAATTTCTTAAACTCGCCCAAAATACTAGGTAGGTATCTTACATCTTTAATTGCTTATTAATAATTGTTGACTTATTTATAAATAAGTATATAAATAAATATTAATTTATGCAAATATGTGATATTTGAAACTCACCAACGCGTATCTTGGCTCGTTTTGGTAGATGGTGCCTACTCGTGTCCAGTTGAAATGTCTCAGCAGTGCTAGTCGAGGAGCGTTAAATGCATTTTCACTTGGTACAACTCGAAAGAAATTTGGAAAATCTGTGTTGCTGAACATCGGATGGGTATCAGCATACGACAACTATAAATTAAATCAATTGATGAATAAAATACAATTATTAATATTTTATTTGTGTAATTATTCATGCGTGCTTGTGTAAATAGGAAACTACTAATTCATATTATGTGCATGTTTATGGGAGGATGCGCAGGTATCATGGCAGGAGAGTAATATTAAAGAAATTCGTGGAGGATTGGCCTCTCAAAATTCTCTAAAAAACCTCTAAAAATTCAATACTAATAATATACAATCTAAATAATATGTAGTTAGTGATCTTTTTTTTATGCAGATATTATATATTATGTTCCTTAAAAATAAGTTTCTTTGTGAGGTTTAAATAGGTATATAACCACTTCAGCCATGACTTGAATTTTAAAATATCTAAACATCATAAAATATTAAACCTTTGCATTAAAAAAAAAAACAGAAGCTTAGTACATTTTTAAGATAAATACAATATACAACATAAATATAGGATGTATTTTTTTTAACAAGCTCTTTGTTTTATAAGTAAATAGGTACCTAACACCAGTGGTGGTCAAACGATAAGGAGGGGGGCGGTGAGAATGGATATATTGTTCTCCAAAGACAAATAAATTCATTGACCACCACAACTCGGGGTATGTATATTAGTGTAGCGTATGTAGACTTTTATAATCTGGATATTATTATAACTATATTTATGCAATATTAATTAATCATATCAATACTATACAAAAAAAAAAAAAATAGTTCGGTTAATAAAACATTACGATTTTTTATTGGTACCAAATTAATATAATTTAATAATATAGATGAATTTAATTTTAAACTAAATATATATTTATTNNNTTTTTTTTTTTTTTTATTGATCTTATAGCTTCGGCGACATAGGCCATTAGCTTTTTACATATTTTTGTTAATAACTTTTTAATTAATGGCTTACAATTTGGTTACAATAATTGGGGGGGGGGAGATGTTACTTATGACTAAATATTATGTTTAAATTAATTTTTACATTCCGGTGTTCTTTAGGAATGTTATGATCCTCTCGGGTTGACAGTCGGGTCCTATTGCTTCGTACATATTGGATTGTATGTTGAGTTTTTCTCTTGCTTCTTCGGTTGATCGGCATTCGGTTATAATGTGTTTTATTGTGAGGGTAACTCCGCTATTTTTTGTTTGTATACTGATTTAATGTAATATTATGTTTCTAAAAGATATTTATTAAGTTTCATTCCGGTTATTAGATTTAAATATTTAATGTGTTTTAAATATACATTTGCGGTTATTCAATGTTGGCCATTTACACTTGACATTTAGCTTAGGATCATAATATTTAGGAATATTCCGTCACAAAGTTTTCTTCCCACGGGAAGTTTATAAATGTCAAGAAATTCACTTTCATACTATTCTTTGGAAATCCCAACCAAGACGACCTGTCAATAAATAAGCTTTAAATCTAAGGTCCACCCGTATAGATAGAGAAAATTTGAATTGAGGGAAACATTTATTAAAATATCGATTGACATTGGATAAATAATTTTCGTAACTGTCATTAACTTTGGCTATTTTTAATTTTAATATTTTTTACTCTAGTCATTGGCAGTATACAACTACTGAATAATATAATTTTAATTTAGAGAGCATAATATAGAAATCAAAATCAAGTAAATATCTTATACACCTTTTAGCTATGTGCAGCGTTGGTACGTCATTTTATTCCATAACTATTTGGACCGATCATATAGTAACTGATTATTTATTACTGATCATTGATGTCATATACATTTTTAAGTTTTAAGTTTTTAGAGGTAGATTTTGATTTTAGAATGATTATAGCTTCAAAATAGCATTTGTTAACTATTTGTACTCTTCCTGATATCTCCGCTTTAAACTTATTGTCTTGGTTTATGAGAACCCATAAGTACTTAAATTGTGGTACTCTGTAGAAGATACTTAATTCTACCTTCATACTGTCTCCACGTTAATACACTTTGTCCCTTCAACTGAGTTTCAAGCATACCGTTTTTTCGTCATTAATTATGAGACCAACTTTACTCGCAGCCTCCATCAGTTTCTTAAAATGTTTCTTCACCATCTCCATGTTGTCTCATAAGATGTAAATATCATCTGCATACGCTAGCAGGCCTATCATTGATTGACTTAATGTTTGGCCTTCTGCTATGTTCGTATCTCTAACTACTTGTTCTAGTACTAGATCAAAAAAAGTCGGAGAAAGTGCTTCACCTTGTCTCAGACCAGTGGTTACTTTAAATGGTTGTGATTTAGTACTTAAAATTATTTCTACTTCTGAATTAATTTCATATTTTCATGTTGAAAAGGGGGACCAAATATGATTGCCCCAGGCCTCTAATTATAGTTATCAAGGTAAATAAAGCTGATACGTCATGTAAGTGTATAAGTATATACACAATATATTTGTAAATATATATACACACTAAGACAATATAAATTCAGTATTTACTAAATATTTCAGAATACAATACGCTTATGATAGGTAATGTAAAAGAAATAAAAATATACAAACTTTTTAAGTAAGTTTATGAAATTCTTAACTCATATTTATTTTTGATAAGTAAATGTTTGTTTATCAAAAAATAGGCTTTACAACTAAAGGCATTTTAATCGATTGCAAGGTAAAAAAAGTTTTAAAATTATTGTAATAAGCAGATTCCTAATATACAAAGTCTCTCTTGATTAATATATTTTTATGAACTAAAAAAAAAGTCTGTTCAAATATTAGCACAATATGAAGTAGGTATAAATAAGATATAAAAATGGCTGCAGTATACTTAAATGAAAAACCGGTATTTTTATGAACAAAATATTTTCTTAAAAATTTATTTATTAAATTGAATGATTGAATTAACAAATAATTCATTCTAAATTTCAAATCCTATGTAAAAATATTCAGTATAACTTCAATGCATAGTTATGCTGGTTAATTGATTTATTGTTTTTTAAGTGAGAAAAAAAACCAAAATTTGTCACATAAATCTGTTTGTGCTGGTTTTGTTTTATTTAGTTGAACAATAATGCACCCAATATAAGAATAAATGTTTCTTTCATAATTTTTATCTTAAAACCACCAAAAAAAAATATTTCTAAGTTAAATTCTGTAAGTTTCTGCTCAATACCATTTATTTAGACACCTCGTTATTTGAGCTCCATTAAAATCAAAATGTATAGTACCTACATACTATAACTATCTAGTAATTTTAAAAACAAATACAGTGTCTTGTGTTGATCCTAAAAACTACTTACGTCTTCTAGTTATACCATACTATATCCTATAATCATAACTAATATTTACTATAAAAGTTATATATATACATTTGATTGACATTTTTTAGAGGCTTTTTATGTAGGTTCTCTGAACATGTGTCAGTCATTATAAAGCTATCGTTATCATCTAAAATTAGATAGTGCATATTACCCATGTTATAAATGATTATTAAATTGTGTATACATTTTAACTATGTTTATCAATATCCTATGTACATTTATGAAGAAGTCTACATTTTTGTCCAACGAAAAGTTTAAAAGTAGAATAGTGATATTGGGAAGGTAAAGGTAGTAGATGATTGTGTAGCGAGTTAAATCAACAATATTATTTACCTGAGTTATTCTCCAATGTTTGGAGGCTTTTGCAATTGGATCTGTCACTTGGGTACAGGCAGCGCCGAACAACATTACTTTGTGTGGTCCTTCGTGCATCATATCGAAAAATGCTTTCATACCCACCGCTGCATTACACTGAAAAAAATAAAGTTATAACAAAATTAAAAAAAAAAAAAACATTTGTAAATGTTAAGGTGTTTTTGGGTATTTACGATACTATCACGAAAAGTACTAGAAATAAAGTAATCTATTAGTCCCCCCCCCGGCTATAGTTAATATTTCTAAAATACATGATATGCATCAGTGTATATTGTTTAATTTAGTTTGTTATTATAATCATTTGCAAGAAAGATGTTGATAAGTTCGAGTTAGTTTGATTTTGTTTCAATTATATTCGATTCATTTTTAACTATGAATAATATATTAAAAGCGAAATTTCATCTTGTGATGATACAATGATTTACAATGGTTTTAAAAATGCGCGCACAAACTTTTTAAGTTAAATATATTTTATGTAACAATTCTTAAACACAAGAAATTTCCATTGTAAAATGTAGATAGCAGAATGGAAGAGGTCATAGTATAACACATAATATAATATAACAATATTTGAGACATAGTTTTGTTGTAATCTCTTTTATACCACATGTTTACTTTTATAATGAAATACAAAGAGAACAAACACAATATCCATTAAAAACATATAAAAATGTATAAAATAAGCTCACGCCTCATCATAAGAAAAAAATACCTCCTGTATATAATACTTTTAAATTTAAACTTGGAAAATATTAATAGTAATTTATTCTTTAACTTATTGCGGTAATAAGAATTATTCACTAACTAAAGAATACATTTTACGAGTATGTAACTTTATGTACAGTTGAGTAAAAATGTATTATAAATATACATACATTTTTAAAATTAATATTACAATTTTATGAAATACTGTCACAGAGTTTAATTAAATCCGATTAAGTTATTTCAAATGTATGACTTATGATTTGTATCATGCTTTGAATAATTGATAAAAGCCAATATTTCTATACATTTGAAATTACACTAAGTTATCGATAAATACTATTAGTCTTCTTGGAAACGTTTTCTCCTATACTTTGATTATGTAAGATATAAATAATGTCAACTTTGTCCTTATATACTTATCAAGTGCAAAATCTGTAACGTGGAATATTTATTTGGATCATCACATACAATAAAAACACTTTAAACACAATAACTGTTATTATTAATGCATACAGTTATTCATTTTTAAGTATGTATTATAATAACGGTTTGAGTAGTAAAACATATAAACCAACAACTTTGGTTTTATGGAGTTGAATAAAAATCATTATTGGTTGTCATTTTATTCATAAAATAATGTTAATTGATATGTCATAATATGTGGTTATGATAATCCTATTTTTTTATTTAAAAAAAACATTTATCATTATTGTTTTAGTTGCAAAATAGAACTCATAACAATAAATCTATGATAATAAATTGTTAAACATTACAATTATATCAACTAATTACAAAAATAGTAATTCATAATTATTTATTAATGTGATATCAATTTGAAAAATTAACTCTTTGAAGTCTTTTCTGTAATAGCGATAGTAACACGGTATGTTCTAAATAAAATATGGAATATTGGGATACTATTATTAATTAAATGGCATGTTTGTACTTTGTAGTAACTATATGTAATAATTAATAACTAATGTTAAATTATATCTTCAGGATGAATCGACAGTGTACTCCAGGAATACATTTTGTAACTACTAAAACTAAAAAATATATATTATCGGTACAAAGTTCAATCAAATATTGGTGGAAACGTGTGAGTTTTTGAAATTGACAATTCAGGCATCCATTAAAATTTGTTACTCATTTAAGTCTACCGATTAGTTTCTATAAACCAGTGTTTGAAGAAATAAGTGAAAAGACTAGTTGTATACATACTGTACATATTTTGTGATTATAAACTTTGTCATCAAAGACAAAAAGTACTGACACAAATATTATGAAAGATATTTACCATATACCTACACCTACCAGATACCAGTTACCGCCTACCCCTATCAGCTTTCTGTGGACTACATTGGTACTTTTTATTGGGCTTAACTGTTATTTGGTTTAACTGCATTAAAGAAGAGTTTATAACGGCATTGCACCCTAGGCGTTGTGTGACCATAACTTTTAATTAAATTTGGCTCACTGTTCCTTTTCGAATATAATTCATTATTTTACGGGCCACTCCCTCGAGTGATGGTTTACAATCACAACACGTACACAATATACTACCGTGACCGTAGTTTAGATAGGAAATTTCCAATAACAATAATATTCTTCATTCCTAGGTTCAGAATAAAACAACAATGTTGTTTGCACTTGCTTACGAATAAAAAAAGTCAGTAAGTTTTTACAAAATAATTTAACAATATTCAATCGGGTGCCGGTGCCACGTATTTTGTCAACGATTGACGTTGGTATTTTTTTCTTATGTCTTATTTGAATTAATTATGCACAATCGATCGTTTATTAGATTTATTAGTTAAAATGGATTAATACACATTACGATCTGATATCCACACAATTCATATTAACCTAGACATATTAACCAAATTAAATACCGTCCACTGACAGCTTTTTGTGTTCTGCCTGGACACATGCAGCTGTATCTATGTATACCAGGACCTATGTAACCTACCTACCTAGGTATTTTAGGTATACAATTTAATATTATAAAAGTTCTCCAAAAATAGTTTTAGTTACCTACACGATAAGTGGTTATTGTTTTAGGTCTAAAATATTTAAAATTAAATATTTCCCCATACTGCAAGCTATTGGACTTTTTATTAATTGTTTAAGTATTTGGCTCTACTGCCTAAAAAATATAAAATTCAAATAAATACTTGCATATAATAACATTCATGTATTATTTGTAGTTAAAACTTTGACTGATTGAATTAAAAAAAATACTTTAGCAAAAGAAATATTATCAATACAGCAATATTGTTTATAAAAGTTTTATACAACGCAAAATATAATACGTACATTGAAAACGAGAAAAAATGTATGTTAGTGAAAAATGTAATTGGTTTTATTTAATTATTTCCAAGAATAAATAACATAAACAATAGTAATAATACAAGTTGAAATATTTCTCTGATTTAAAATATTCCATGAAATGTTCAGACATTATAAGTGGTAACTTCAGAAGCATATTACGTTTATAAAATAACACACATCAAATACGGAACGAAAAGAAAACGGTATAATGTATTATGCATTACTTTATAACGCCATATTTGAATCTTAATCCAATGTCGTTAAACACTTAATAATATGTTTTTATACAGACGAATGTGTGTCAAATTATGTTATTAAAAATGTAAAAAATATAACTGATAGGTATCTGTGGGGATGTCATTCGCAGTCGGAAATTAAAAATTATAAAAACTCATGCTTCATTTTGTCATGGTATGGCCATCGCTCAGATATACCAACAAAAACAAATCCAGCTAAATAACAAATAACTCAATAATTATTGTGAAGTTAGAAATTTTTTTCCAATAAATGTTTTTTAAAAATAATTTAAGATATCGAATGATTATTGCTATATTAAAGTCATAATTTATAATTTATACTAGTAGTAGTTTTTTATTTCATTTAACTTTGAATTATACAAAAGATTTGTTTTTGTGTTGCTTGAAAATTTGAAACAAAAAAGGTTTGTAGCTACTTTATATGTAAATATTAGAAAAATTGAACTCCTAATTTTCATAAAGTATTCAAATGATTAGTTAAATATTAAAGTTTAGGTAGATGAGTGTGTTTACAAAGTTGGTAAGTGGGGACATAAACGTCCTCATCGTCTTAAATGAAAATGGTGTCATGACTTATCTATTAGTTATTACAATACAAATTCATAAATAAAAGGGTTGTTATTAAGTCACTCATTTCCCAAAACTAATGTCAAAATAAAACACCCATGACCCAAACAAGTTTTATTATTGTACAAAATAAAATGTAATTATGTATCAATTAAAAAGAAAATAAAGATACATGTAATATATTATTTTAATATCAAAATTGAAAGGTACCTATTGCACAATAAACATAGATAATAACTAATAAGTACTTAACATAATGCTACACCTGTTTGTATGTATTTCAATTTTAAATACCCATACTGTAGTTTTTGGTTTTCATTAATGTCAAATCAAGTAATATTGAAAAACGTGAATGTTTTATTTTAAACTTTCAACCAATGTAGATTTATTTTATCCTAAGTGTTACCCACTGTTACCCACTTATTTTCAGTAAATCATAATAAAATTAACTAGGTTATACCAATGATAAATATCATTAATTTATGAGTTTGAACTGTGTTGTGTTTATTTAAATATTCAATAGGTACTTAATTTGATAATCATAAAACAAGCCAGACTTCACTAAGCTAATAATAGTTAAAGCTCGTGTGTATTGTATTAATTTTCAAACTTTGGACAGTTTTGACAAGTAATAAAATATTATGACATTTTTGAATTTTACAAAAACACTGTTTACACAATGTAAAAAGTAAAGTAATTTTCCTTTGTTTTTTATTTATAAATACATAGTAGTAAATATAGTAATAAAAAACACTTACAATTCTGTATGATTAAGATGAAATAATATTTTAAATAAATCAAATAATTAATACTGTGATTTGACTTATTCAGGTACTGTAAATAGAAGTAAATCGTTTTGTCACACATTTCCATATTTATTAAATATGAATTTTGTATTTACAATAATACATGTTTTGTTCTTTAGACATAAGTATTTTTCGATGGAAAGAACATTTGCTTAATTTGCTATACCAACGATCAAATTCTTTTACAGCCTGATATTTAAATGATGTTTGTTTGTATAATTCTATTAAATTTACAATTTTATCATTTATGCGAATAATTTATACGTAATTATCATTTATACGTAATTTTTATAAATATATTCTTTGAAGGTGACTCTAAAATTGGTGTGAAATACAGTTTTTTCCATCTTTTGTATAATATGATCCTTAAACCATTTAATTTATGATATCATAACCTACTCAAATGAAAACATATTCTAAAAAAATACTA